ATATTACGTTAAAAAATATTTTAAAAAATACAATATTTTTAACTGCCTTTACTTAAAGTATTCATAACATGTTAATCTACTTTAAATATTACTTTAAAACATATTGTGTTCAAAGGCTTTTTTAAAAAAAAAAAATTGATGTCATATTCCGGAAACCCTATAGTTTCAGGGGTTCTGTCAATCGACAAATTTTAAAGACTCCACTGCTCTGCATAATTAAAACTAAACTGAAATACTTTGAATTTTTTTTTTTATTCCATATAAATGATTCAATTCCACTGTTTATAGCGAAGAAAAACAATAAAGTAGGCTAGGAGTAGGAAGAAAAAGGTAAAGTATAATTCCTATGAATTTTTATTTTATTATGACAAGTAATCAATTACGAGATTAGTTACGACTAAGTTTTTGTTCATTATACAATTAAATTTTATGAAATATGAAATCTAAATTATGTTACAAAATCAAAATATTTATTTAAGGGACAACCTGGAAAGTGTAACCATGATTGTAAATTTCTTTCTGTTAGCATTGATTGCAAAGCACACTAATGAATATGATGTGTATCAATTGTCTTACTTTTCATGCAAAAAAGAAAGGAAATGCATAGTTTAATAAAATATTTATTCTGAATTAAAGATCTCTTTGTAATAAATTCATTTTATTCAAGATGTTATAAAGCAAACATAATCTCTTTTTTTTAAAAAAAAATAACGAGCAGAAGCATAAGGAACATTAAACTCATCCCTATTCATTGTTATTTTCATATATTTCTTCTACCTTTTATACAAACACAATTATAGTCTTAGGGTTTAACATAACAGCTGTTGAAAATTCTCTTCAGCTTACTAGAGAAGGTACTGGCTGCATAAATATTTAGGACTGTAAAGTTGAAAAATGGTATTCAGTTGGATTACGTCTTTCAAAGGTCTTTTATGCAGAACATAAAAGACGAATTAGACGCCATACTCGAAAGAAGTTGCTTCCCTTCCCTTTCAGAACCAGGTGTTAAAGGCAAAACATCATTCATTGAGCTTGCCATTTTGTAAGAATGAACAGAAAAGAAAAAAAAGAAGAAAAAAAAAGAAAAAAAAAACCGATTGTCTCTTTTTATTATTATTAAAATGTTTGATAAATATCTTTCAAAAGCTATACATTCTTTTAAATAATTGTATATTGATGGCTTTAATTTCAAGTATTTTTAATTTTATGTAGATTGTTATAGAAATCATTATCTCCTCAAATAATTCATTGTTTAGTTAATAGTTAAGTTAATGGAACTCTTTTGAAATCCCTTTTTACTTGAATTTCTTGATATCGAAAAATGGCTTTATCGGATTTATACACTGCAACGCCTTTATTGACGATCTAGAAATACACCTTGTTTCTCAAAAAAAAATGCAATTAAAATTTGGGCATTGCAATCTCAAATGAAGCTAGGAAAAATAATTATTGAAACTTTAAGTTATCAATTCTAAATACAAATCCAGTTTAATTACAGTAGTATTCATACAAAAAAAAAGATTGTGCAATAAATTTAAGTTTCTCCTATGAAATTTGGGGATTATTCTTTTGCTTTAAATGAACACTTTTAAGAAAAATAAAATAAAAAAATTAATTTTTTTAAAAAAGAAATAGAGTTTTCTCGATTAATTACTTGGAATTTTTAAAAATTTCTTAAAGGTAATAATAAAAAATCTCCTTTTCATAATTACTTTAACATAATTACTAAAATATGATTTCTTAAATAATCCATTCACTAACACACACACAACTTTTACTATCAATTTACTTCCCAACAAAAACTGTACAAAATTAAGTCTATTTTTCATAAATTTTGATCAGCCCTGTTGCCACAAAGAAAAACAAAGTTATGTGACTTAATGAAGTTAATTATGCCTTATTTGAATGCTAGAGAATAAGATATACATTCGAAATATTTTTTCAGGCAGAAATATTATACAATTTTAATATACTTTGATTTTTGTAAGTGTATGTAAAATTACTTATTTCTATTCTATTAAAAACTTTTTCCGCAACTTATCATTTCCTTCTTCAATTTTTAATTCACACACACACACACACAATCTCGCCCTCCACAACTAAATTATACATAATACTTTAAGGTATGAATTTCAGCGTCCATTTTATAGTACAGAGAAAAATTACGCATTAAGAGAACGTTTCTGAATTTCATGTTTCTGTTCTATAAAAACAGGTAAATATTCGTGATTATGCTCATTTATTATTAAATAATTAAAAGTCCCTTAATATATAAAATATTAGTAACAAGTATTTTACTTCCTTAAACATGGGTGACAGTCTAGGAAATAACATGGGAAGTTATCTTCTATATAAAAGATACTGAACCAATAGCGCACACAGGAATTTTTCAAGGGGGGGTTCCGGGTTCTAAAGTTCTCCATTCTTGTATTAAGCTCCTTTTGATTTTGTCGATTTTCGGGAACAAAATACAGTAAAAAGCTAATTAATGAATAAATAATTAGCATTAATTAATAAAATTAATCATTATTAACAAATAATTAAATTTTACGTACTATATACTTAGAATTTTAATCAATCAGAAAAAATTCCAGGGCTTTGGGAGGGGGGGACGGACCCTTTGTGTGCGCCACTGTACTGAACTATATATCAATATAAACAATTTTCATAAAAATTTGCAATGTTCTAGTTCATACATCTCTGTGTGTTTATAATATTACCCTTACAAAATTTAAAAATATTGCAGGATTAAGTAAATAAGTTCAAACAAACCTTT